TACCGGATATTCTTTCTGTGCATCGCCCATACTTCCACCCCTTAGATAAGGACCGAGAGGACTATCGACTTGTACACCAACGCATTGGTTCTAGCAGTGAGGCAATGAATTTTCTACATACGATGTTCCAATTTTCTAACAGCGTGCTGGTCGGTTGGTAACATACCTTTGATGTAGCAGAATGCCGACGTGTTCCATAGTACTTCCCCAGCAATCCGTATTTCCGAACTGAACATTGACTCCGACTGAAACTGGCATGCAGTCTTACCTTTGCTTATGCCGAGTCCGAACTTGGTCGCCGTGGAAGCTAATGTAGTCATGCATTGCAGTTCTTCCTCGGTATGTGCAAACAATACACCGTCGTTTGCAAATAGCAGCATCCGGATGGTTGTTAATGCACTAGGCTCGCATACCAGTATGCAGGCATTCAATCAGACAAGTAAACTTTGAGAGAATCAGCCCCAACGTCTCACGGTTTACCGTATCGAACGCTTTCGTGAAGTCGAAGAAGAGTGAATACAACGGCTGACACGCTGCGAACACCATGTCGATGGTGCCTTGGGCCACGCGGAAGCCACATTGTTCTTCAGACATGTGCGATTCCAGTATATGTGTCACGAGGCCGTTGAGTAGGACTCGACCCAAAATTTTGCCGACGCAGCTAAGCAAGCTGATGCCACGATTCTTGTTAGTGCATTGCTTGCTGTCCTTGAGAAATGAAAACCCTCACTTCAAAGCTGGCGTCCGTTGGTGCATCCCGATTGCCTGGCTGGGGTCCTAAGGACGATGAACACGTTTGGTTGCACACACTTGATATGGCGAAGAGCCGACCCCAATGGCGTTTGTGTTGTGAATTTCATTTTTCCATCTCCCTCCCCCTTAGATTAGATTCCCCTCCAATATAGTATTTAACATCATATTACTTGCTTGGAATCCTTTTTGTAGTGTAATTTTTAGTCTGTTATCTTTTGTATTGCGACACATTAGCTGAGGTGTGTTTCTCACCCTCAGCTAACCTGTATGAATGATGATGCTGCACTCTCCCTTGTAAAGTGGAAACACAAAAGCACACTTCAACTGTTCAGTAACCTGCTACTACACCAAGCAGTGGAGTGCGCGCCTCGTATATGCTCCGCCGGTCCCCTATACTTCCGGCGATATGCCATCAGCACCAGCGTATTTCCCCTTCCGCAGATGAGCAAACATCCTCTGTGTGTTCCAAGCAGTTCTGAAGTGTCCGCAACTTCGCATAGTACGCCGTGATCTTGCAACCTGTGGTGGAACCATATGTATTAATCAATGTTATAGGCTTAGGGCGCCCGAGGCGAATACGAACCAACCTCAATCGTTTGATGATATCAGTGGCCCCCCACCCACCCGTCAGGCGGTCAGTGATTGCAAATCCGATGCCTTGTTCACGTGGGACTGTGTCGGCATTTCCAATCCAGTAGAAAGTGTGGCCAGCGACATCCTCGCACGACTTACTTTGCTTAGCTAGTCGGGCCCCACTCAGCGTGGCGATATCAATGTCGTAGCACATAAGCACCATGGCGACTAATGCGGTTCACCGTGTAGGTCGATGATTTTTGTCCCGTTCGTGTAGTGTGCACACATTACAGCATCCCAACCTTGTGCTTGGCGTGATGGCCTTCGGCCGCGTTTGCCCATTGATGCGGATGGTTGAGATGTTGAGGAGGATTTGCCCTGGACTGGGGTTCAGACGAAAATGGTTGTTTGGGACGAGCCGGGGACGGGGCCGGACGTTTGTGGGGAGCTAGGGAACCTGAGAAGAGGCAGGTAACCAATGAAAGGTAATGGAACACCTAGCCCTTGATTTCCTTATGGCTATGAATGTGCATGCACAGCAGCACTATTTGCATTTAAACAATAAATCGGCCTTGTTGCGCGGACATCTGTCATGTGAAATCTGGACACCATTGCGTGGCATTTTTGCAATCGTTGCGTACTACTCATGAGTAACTCGCCATAAGATGAAACTATGACACTCGGTCGCACGTAAGGACGTCCACCAATATGCCTGCAGTTGTGCAGCATGAGCACTACCATATGTGAACCACACTCAGTGTCACGACACGGAGGTAAGGAGAGACGGAATCAAAGCATCTCACGGCGACTGGCGGTCATGCGGATCCATGCTAACAAGTACTGATCTTAAATATCGGGCGTCAGGAAAAGGGTGCGCCCCCGGGTGGGCTCGAACCACCAACCTTTCGGTTAACAGCCGAACGCGCTAGCCTATTGCGCCACGGAGGCTTGGTGTCGGGGTAATGCGTAGTTTATCCAAGTGCTAATTTTGTGCATGTGTCTATTTGTCATCAACACGCTGATCGTCATTGGGCTCCATGGCAAGGTGCGCCTTTGTTCCCTTCATTGGCAATTTCTGACCTGTTGGTCATCGCTCTCATCTGTAGGTCATCTAGTCACGGCTTTTATGAGCTGGAAGCTATCTGTCTGAGAGATTTGCACGCTTCAGAAGACGAGAATCTTGGATGACTGAGAGTTGTGTGCACACCAGGGAACAGGTAGGAGAATGGGAAGCTGACGGCAGTAATAGTTAGTGGAACTGCTCTTCTGCCCAACCTACATAAACAACATATGTGACCCATCAGACACAGGCGCTAGTTCCTGTTTGTAGCTGACGTCAAGCTAGTCTACTCCAGATCAATTAAAACGATGCCCGAGAAGCATACGTAAAGACCTATCCAAATTAAAATATTTGGTGAACGCTTGTTATTAAAGTTCTCCGCGCGAAAATCCCGTGTATAGGTACCGTATCCCGGAAAGCTGTCACTGTTGCTGGCAACTTGATCCCAATCTCTGATTCAGTTTCTGAATATGTTCTGTACCAAAACGCTAAAGCCGGACAGCTTCCCGGCTACATCACTAAAACTTCCTCCCCGCTTGAAACAGATTATTTTCGTCATTCACAGCCAAATTTGAAAGACAACACAGTTCTGGAAGATGTTCAGCAATCATGTACTAAGCTGGTCACGGGACGCCCCTCTGAGTGGATTCTTTTTGGTTGAGTGTAGAACAATCTTCTCTTGAGCATTATAAATAACCAACTATTAAAAGATAGTATCGTCGTTGAACTACAAAAGTCACTACCTATCTCGTGCGTAATCGCGGCCACCTTTTACCCTCACAGCCTATAGGTTATAAAATCGATGGACTTTCTTCTCAGTGTGATATGCCAACTAGTATTACAAATACGCGCTGTTGCCGACCTTATCATATTCCGGACATCTTTAGAAAAACTTCTCACTATTCAAAAAGTATGAGACATTTGACCCATAGCAATCTCCAGAAGCAATAACGGATTCTGGCCTAAATAACGTGTGAACAACTAGAAGTCTGTAATCAACCTATCCTTTTCTTATCCTCACTAATACAATAAAATATTTGAAAACAGCGACATCAACTTTCGTATCGGGTGAATGCATAATGAGCGGTCAGGTTACTGTTCCGTGGGAACATTCAGTATCCAAAATATTTGTTCATTAAAGTTAATAATGCGTTGAAACCAAAACACTAACTTCTGTGTACAAATGATCGCGCCCACCTAGGTCTCATATACTGTTTCTCAAGTCAAGATAAGATCTTTGTACCCGGGTGGGTGTATTTCCAGCACTTTACAGTGTCAACTGTGGACGAAGCAAAATGACATTATAAAAATGCAGGATTATAAAAATGGAGAAAGAAAAGGGAATATTGTACACTGGTATCACTCGAGCACAGCGCAAATCGATACTTAAAATCCTATGGCTTTTTTCAGCCGACTGAATAGGTTTTACGAAGACATTTCTTTAAAATTGGTTTTAACTGGCCTAAAAGTTCTTGACCAAAATTAACAAATCGCGAATCGTGCGCGACATACGGACTTAGTATTCAAAAAATGGGAGAATAATATAATCTCGATAACCTTAGAAGTACTTTGGACAACAATCATTGCCAAAATATTTCTACAAAACTTACCCGCAGTAGATAAAGTAAAAATGATGTTCAATGAGAAAGCAACAACCAATTTAAAGGGTTCGCCAGTAAACAAATTTATCTATCTTGTTTTGCCTTATGAAAGCGTAGAGCATCATTGCGGAAAGCAGTCTAGAGCAGGCCAACAGATTTGCTTGTCTTTGGGGTTACATCACGGCTTGAAATGTAGGTTGTCTGGTAAACGGGACCCTACAACGCAGCTTGCTTTCATTTACCGTAAGCTACCTGCGGCGTAGTCGCGATATTAGTCTCAATCCGACGGGCAGGGTATGCTACACCTCCGTCCCTGCAGTCCTGAATGCGGGTCGCACATTAAAGTGGCTGTCTCAAGATAGCTCACGAAAACAACCCGATGTGACTCGGTGAATGTTATTTGGGACTTCCCAATAGCTCCATCGCGGTTCATCTCATTATGTACGAAAGCACTCATTTGTTCGCTCCTGCAATCTTCTCGTGCTACTGTTAAAATAGCCTACAATGCATTGCTGAAGCGACACGCGCTCCCTACTTTGAGCATGAATTCTGCTTCCAGTATGATGCAAACGGTCGGTGTTTCTTTACCGTTCACATGTTTTCACTCCCAATGTTAGAAATGGTACACCATCTTTGGTTGCTCTCATCTGGTACATCACTCGTTATTTTAACCCAGTTGTTTACGTAGGCAGTATGCCAATCGACTGGAGTCCCCTCCTTCCCTGTATTTTTTCCATGAGTTTGATGAGAGTTGTTCTGCGGGAGTGCTTCACCCGTTACCCGAATGCAGTCTCGGTTCTGATACTGTTCCATTCTACTGTCTTGTTCGCGTTTGCAAAACCACGCGTCACTGGGTCACTTCCTCAGCAGAATCGGTTTATTACTGAACGATACAACTGTACCATTTTTCCTGTTTTTTGTGTCCATCTGCTCTGGTCTAGTAGTGATTAATTTCATTTATTCCTGCTTTTCTCCTAAATAACCCGATTTCACCACCCCTTTGTGTCCTTTAGTTACGCTCTGCTGGTAGTCGACAGTGCGACCGCACTCTACCGAACCGATTATTCCGGTCGTGGCGAATTGTCTGCGAGACAGATGCACTTGGCTCGTTTCCTGCGAACTCTTCTCCGTCTAGCTGACGAATTTGGTGTTGCAGTAGTCATCACGAATCAGGTGGTAGCTCAAGTGGATGGCGCCGCAATGTTCTCCGCAGATCCGAAGAAACCCATCGGTGGGAACATTATGGGGCACGCCTCGACCACACGGTACTCTCTACCTTCCCTCTGTTTCCGGGCTTTCGTATTTATTTAGTTTTTGTTTCACGAGAACTCTCCTTAGCTTGTTGTGGTCTTAACACTTCACAGCCTTACGATAAGGTGGTTTTTTGCCAGTGTTCTGACCATACACTTGAAAGTATGTTCGGTTTGAGTTATAGAAGCACTACTTGGAGCACCACTCAATCTACGCCGTGCATTTACTGTTGGGAAAACAGAACAGGCGACCGATCCTTGTAGTCTCAGCTTCTTCAACCCACGCGATATACCGCATTGGTGAGATAGTAAGAGCTTTGTAGTAACACCAGTTAGGTCTCAATGGCAACCAGTTTCGAAGTAGTATTTTCAAAATCGGCCAGTAAATTTAAAATTAGGATACATTGTCGTTGCCGTCGAATTATCCCCATTGGTGACTGTAGACACAGTTTGTCTCGTAAGCTCTAGACAACAATATGTGGTGCTTTGAAATATATTGGCCAACGAAGACACAAACCAACGTTTGCACACGTGTAACCAATCGGCGCTAGTGCGGACAGCCATTTGGGAGTTAGAATAATGCCTGTGACTAATTGACATGTCTCCTTTAGCTCACCTATAGGAGGACACAGCCGGGAATAAAGGGGCCTATTATACTCCTCGAGTGATGTGTATAAGCATGGCAGTCATAACATGATTGATCAAAGTGACTTTGCTTATATTCTGCTTTTTACTTAATCACTGTTTAGCGTTATTTCATAGCTGTAGGATATCCGCTCCTCTTTTTACTGGGGCAAGCTTTTGCAATCTGTTGAGAACACTTAAGGTTTTCACTTTCTTCTCTTTCATACGGGCTTGCAATAATCCGATGAACCATTCGACACCCTCAGTTTTCTACCATAGACCTGTTTGCAGGATCCCCCTATCGGAAGCGATCGGGTCTCAAACGTATAGGTTATTTTGGATGTCTACTCAAATCTTCATTACTGGTTCTTTTCATAATCGGTTTAAGTACTTTTTACCTTACAAGCTTATCGCTTCACTCTATCAAATCTCTACAGGCAGCAGTATAAAAAACCAATGGGACAGTTCGGTCGGTTCTTCCTTAGATATCGATGTACAGCTGCTGTTTATCAGCGTTCAATTTTGCTCTACCGCGTAACGTTAACCGAACAATATGCCTCACGCTCTCCTGTGGGTTTGTCCGTGCGCACGATCGAGACGAACGGTCGCTGAATCCGCTATTCTGCGCGCCACCGTTGTGAATGCTACAGTAAAGAGCCATCAAGCATATCAAAGAATTGTCACACCCTAAGATTTTACAGCGCTCAGTATGGCCGCCTACGCGGCTAACTGATAATGGCCTACCAGATTTTGAGGAACCCCAACCTGCTGCCATCTGATGCAACTTAGTCACAACACGAATCTGAGAGGACACCAGTTCAATTTGGCCACAGTTGGCTGGAATGTCGCCGGAACTTCGGGTGTACTATCCACGGAACGCCAACCCTAATTACATTGTTTCCGCCCCTCTATTATCCATGTTCATAAAATATGACTTCATGCTGCTTTGATCCACCTACATTACGAGATATAGTCTGTGTACGTCCACAGACGATATAATATTCTGAACGTCACACGGCCAGCATTACCCTACACCATGGAAGTAAGATCTTTTGTGCATACCTCTGTGTGAACACCATAATAAGTCCACCAACACGCTTTTTTATTTTATCACCCTGTTTTATCCTCTCTTTTGGTTCTCCTTCTGCCCAGACTTCAGGACTTGTTAGGCATTTGCTTTTCTTAGCCGTTGTACACCACTGTTCGATTGTATTACGTATAATCATGTCTCCTCCGTACTTTTTCAGTCTCTATCTACGCAAAGGTCGGGGTGAGACCAGAATTTGCAAGATTTACGATAGCCCGTGTTTGCCTGAGGCGGAGGCAATGTACGCTATACTGCCGGACGGGATCGGAGATGCTAAGGATTGAGCACATACTCATTCCTTTCTAATTGAAACTGTTCCTCGCTTTGCCAAGTCGTTGCGTTACAAAACGTTCGATGCAATCGGTGTGCACCTCTATCCAATCTCCAAACACTCGTTCACTTCCCGTTTTGTTGTAAATACACACTCTCACGAAAAGTTTCACCTGTACTGTACTCGTGTGATGAATGTATTTTGCTTTTTCACAATTCTGTACCATTAAATCTTTTTACATCCTTGTACGTGTTATTGAAAATGATGACGTCGTACGATTTGTACTTCATATCAGCAGTTAAATTTATTTATCAGTCGTGGTAGTAACTTCAGTCGTACACTCTCCATCATCCTGGAACGATTTGTGCTACCGTTTCGTCCTGTTGATACTTACCAGCAACACTCTCCCAAATCTTTCAGGTTTTGGGCCCGCTTCTACTCTCAACTTACCAGTAGAGATCAACTCTGTCCGCCGCACGTCACTATCCTTATTGGCAGTGGTAGGAAAGATAGACTACATCACAGTTAACCACATAAGTTGAGGTGGCGAGACCGTGTGGACCGCAGCATGCTTTCGTGTGCTGCATACTCACTGAACGCAATGTTGAGAGGTCTCAGCTTACAACGGAGTGGTAGGTGAGTTCGCATGATATAAGTTGAAATTCCTCACATCTATGCTCAGTTGGACAAACATCATACACCCGAAAAGCACTGTACGGTCGTTTCATGCTTTCGGGAATCGTCAGCAATGCGAATTCCATCTGACCCCAGTGAGACTAGAACCTGCAACTTGACTGTCGCCAGTCTGTGGTTAAGACGTCATTAAGTTACTGTATGTGATATAGCTCAGCTCACTAATCTCTGACTTAAGTTTGCTCGGTGAGCGGGCTAAATACTAGAGTTTCAGTACGGATACCGGTGGTCAAAATCGCCAGTAACTCAATGCCGTCGACTTTCAGTGATCATTTCTTATCTACGTAACCACGCTAGTTGTGCTACTGTGTCGTGCTCCATTGGATGGTTGAGGCTGTGAACCGTCAGCTAGACGTATCCATGCGCGATCATCTCTTCGTCTGTGGACCGTTCAACCACTTCTAGTGGATGCTCGATGATGGAGAGCACCCGCAGTGACTTGGCCATATGGCGCAATGGTCCATCGAAATTTGACAGCCGAAGTGCTGTGTCCGAATTTTCAACGACCATGGTGAAACTGTCGCACCCGAATTCATGAGACATCCGTTCCACGTGCTCCAGGGTTGTCAATCCGTCACATAACATGCAGTCTTTCCAGTGTAAGCTGCCAGAACGGAGTTCCGCAGGATGTTTCCATTCACATGCTTGAGCAAAAATTGAAACAGGGCGAATATGAAATATTCCACTTGGCACTGGTTGATCAGTGGAGCTCAACCTGTGAACCCCCGCACAACCACAGCAGTGGCGAGACAGAAACATCGAGGTGAAATTGAGATTCTCTGGTACTCCCTTCTGCAGTGGTCACAGCCACCAAACCTTGCTCAGCTTTGGATATAGGGACGTGGCTACGGCAGGCCGGTTTATAACGAAGCGCGATTCCTTTCCCGTTGGATCTCGAGTTTTTCCTTTGTCAATTATTTTGGAACATAAATGCTTGCATTTGTCAGTCCTCGTAGACATTTGTTACGCATGAAACCAATGCCCAACCACACTCGGCAGCATAATCACGTACTGACCGTACTGCTTCTGCAGATGTCCTCCGCGTGCACACACGACTGCTCGGTGATACCTCTGGATGTCAACATAATTCGACAGCACATTGGCGATACAATTAAGGTAAAAGTTTGGAACTTCGAGATGTTATATTACTCCAAGAACTTCATTTATCTTTTTCTTATAGACTCATAGTGCATAAGCTTGAAATGAGTGCTCAGACATCTTAAGGTCGGCGGCAGTAGGACCTGCAGAGGCAGCAAGCATGCGCTACAGACACATCATTGTTCACACATTTGTAGAACTGGGATAATAGAAAACTGGTATACGAATAAAAAGCTCAGGCTTTACAAGTCCCGTATGATAGGTGATTGATAGCGATGATCTAGTGCAGGGGTCACTGAAATTTTCACGCTGGATGATGAACAAACTGATGAGCGCGGGGGCACAATATTTGCAAGCTAGAAAGAACAGTCTTGGAAAAAGGTTAAAAAATAACTTCTGCATGGTATGCTAATCGTAGGCTAGTAACATGCTATGCACAAAAGACAATAACGACCCTCATCACTTTATATATTATTACTCACGACTGTCACAGGGAAGCGGGGAGTCGCATTTCCAGTATGAAGGCCTCCGTTCGAACTAACACGCTTAGATCGTGGTCCATGACCACCGCTGCTATGTGTAGTCATAATGCCAATGGGCAGTAATGCACTTTCACTAGAGCTAGCGATAGCCCCACTTGATACTTTTGAACTTTTCTCATTTTGAAGAATGGTATGGGGACATACTGGTTTACTGGTGGATGTTTGTGAGTATTGTAATGTTCGTAGAAAGTAGAAGTCACGATTAAACTTCACACAGTAATCTGCCTCAACGGGGAATCGAACACCAGGACAGATACTGTGAGCTCATTGGCAATACGTCACATACTGGTTTGTTAGAATCTGGTGCGTGGGATGAATCTGTACTACTTTCTATGTCCACAAAACAGATGTCATGTGCAAGCGTGAGCATTTGAACTTCCTATACGCTGTCGTCTCCGGTAGCATCGTTTGTGTGGAGAGTGGCCTTGCCAACATTATCCGCGTTATTAAAGGGAGAGATCCAAGCTCCGTTAAATCACCTCCTTCATGAAAGTCCAGAAGGCACGCAAGGGGGAGGACTGCTTCGGTTCCGGAAAGACGTTGGTACCACTCGTGCTTTGAAGTTCACGTTGCAAGGGTGACCTGCCTTCGAAGATAATACTTCGCTGAATTTCGGAATGGATCTCAACGAAGTTTGGCTTTTAATAAACGCACTTGCGAGACTCGCTACCAAAGCGGAACAGAGTCGAGCAAGGAAAAGGTAAAGATTTTTTCCTCAGTCACACAACGAATATCGATCTCAGCCATGTTACCCTTTCTGGAAACAATGTACCTAATGTTGTCGATGGAGATATTGTTAGCTACCTTGAGCGCGATGGCATTTTTTCCTCGTCCGCATCTATGGGTGGCGCCTGGGACACTAGTCGATAATCAGTGATACGTAAGAGACTTGTCACCATCGCAATGAGGCTGGATCTTACCGTGGTGCGATGTTTTTGTGTGCCTCAGTGATCCATTGAGCTATGCTGGGTGGTGCTTTTGCACCTTCAGAGCCACTCAGACCCGATTGGTCAATGGTTAGAGGCCAGACAAACTCAGCCTCCTGGTCCTCCAGGTTGGGGGTTGGAATGAGGGGGGCACCTTATTCCTTAAAACGGAGTCTTTGTAGCCCAATGCCAAACCCGCTGCTTTGCGGTCAGGTTTTTGAACCAAAGGCTTTGGTTGAGAACCCTAATCGTTCTCCTGTCAAGGACTGGGCAATCTGACAGTATCCTTTCCACGTAATAGAAAGAATTTCTCTTCTAACAATTTCTTGATGCTCCGATCGTCGCAAGAATAATCAACGGTGCCGTACCTGCTGCATCGAGCAGGGTGGATAGGGGGTTTGGATGCTACTGCTCAAGCCTTCCCGTCTTCTTACTTACCCCTCTTGCGCTTTTTATCCCTTATGGTCCTGTACCAACTTCACTTTTATCCCCCCAGTTTTCAACCCCCGATTATTGGCCCTCCTCCAACATGCTTTGCTAGGCGTTTATCTTCCAGTTGCAACCCACATGCTAGCGTGGAGCGCCATTCCTGTCCTGTGGACAAGCCCATGTCCAACCAAGCGATCCATCCCAGTTCATCGGCTTCCATTTGGAGACCTCAATCCTCCTTCAGATTGGTATGCCTCAATGTACGCACATTGCTACAGATCAGTCAACAAGCAGCACTTTCCCGAACATTAGAGACCCTCTCGATCGATATCTGCTGCCTATCGGAGACCCGCCTGCAAGACTCTAGCTTTGTGCTCACTCTGCGATCCCCTTTAGGTGACACCAGCAGTATTTTCTCATTGCGCCTATCCGGTGACGATGCAGCTTCGAGCACCGGCCAAGTTGGTGTTGGCGTTGCCCTGAGTCCCCGGGCTGAAACTGCTCTGATTGATTGGATTCCAATCAGTAGCTGGATGTGTCCGGTTCGATTGGCTGGCTCGTTCAAAGCTTCGAAGTCGCGCGGCACTAATAGGTGTCTATTCATCATCGCTGCCTACACGCCCACAAACTGTAGCGATGATTCGGTACAAAACGACTTCTACCGCCAACTGACACAGCTCTTTCGTCACAGAAGAAGCACGGACACCGTTGAGCTGGCGGGGGATCTGAACACACAAGTTGCAAAATTATCCACTGATGAAATGCATCTGGACGGTCAACACTGTGTAGGCTCCCGTAATGATAACGGTGAGCGGTCACTGCATTTGTGTGAAGATGCTCGCTCATTTCTTGCGAGCACTAATTTCCAACATAGCACCCGCCTGAGGGTGACTTGGCGCCCACCAGCCTCGAACCAGCCTTGGACTCAAGTCGATCACGTTGCAATCAGTTACCGCTGGAGAGGCTGCATCCAGAACTGTCGCTCGATTTGAAACTCATGTGTGGACACCGACCATGCACTTGTATGTGCTGACATGCGGATGCGTTTTGGCGGACGCCCAAGACAATGTTGAGAGCGCATTGACACCAGCCAACTGACAAAGTCAGCTGTTCGGAATGCCTATCAAAGTACGCTGACATGCGAGTTGAGTAAGCGCTAACTGGAGACAATTGAAGGTCACTGGTCGCATGTTCACCAGTCCCTACTAGCAGCAGGCAAATCCTCATGTGATAAGTCTAATAGCCAACATGGACATTAGGTCTCTTCGCGGTCTGGGGAACTTATAGATGCTCGCCGGCATATTCCGGCTGGAAGCGAAAACAATGAAATTCGCAAAGAGCTCCGGGCAAAACTGCGTGCTAGCCTGAAGAGAGACTGCGAATCTTGCTGGTCTCTTCATGCGTCAGAGATGGAAGTGGCCGCTGCCCTTGGTAACCATCGAAGGTTATTCCATCTGATACGGGAAACGGACAGCAGGAGACCTGGTGTTAGTGAAACAATTTGTGACGAGTGTGGACAGCCTATCCACAACTTGCCAAAACGCTTTTAGCGTT